AGTGCCCCTTGGAACTGACAGACTGGTATTTCTTAGCTGAACTTTCCTGAGCCCTGTGTTGATATGTCAATGTCTTTTATATCATCTGGGAAGGTTTTAGTCATTATTTCTTGTGTGTGTGTGTGTGTGTGTGTGTGTGTGTGTGTGTGTGTGTATGTGTGTGTGTGTTTACCATACATCGTTTTTACTCTACTTTTATTGAAAATGGAGTTATTTTACAATATATTCTGATCACATTTTCCCCTCCCTCATCTCCTCCCAGCTCCTCCCCAACTCCATTCCTTCTTTTTCTCTCTCTCTCCTAAGAGAACATGTAAATATAAAAGACAAACAAACAAGGATAAAAGGAACAAACTATCAAACAAACAAAAACTAAGAAAGCATAAGAAATACACATGCACACACATACCACCCCAAAACTCAAAATTGGAAACCCTAATATACAAAGAGCCAGTGATGTTAAAAAATATAAAGCCCAAACATATTTATCTTTTGAAGTCTGGGTTACCTCACTCAGGATGATTCTTTTTTCTAGTTCTATCTGTTTATCTGAGAACCTCATGTATTTTTTTAAACAGTTGAGTAATATTCCATTGTGTAAATGTACTATATTTTCATTATCTATTCATCCACTGACAGACATCTAGGCTGTTTCCCCTTCTGGGTGTTCTGACTAGAGCAACAATGAACATGGATGACAAGTACCTCTGCAGTAGGATGTAGAGTCCTTTGGGTGTAAGCTCAAGAGTGGTATATCTGGTGTACGCTCAAGGGTGTATATCTGGATCTTGAGGTAGATCTATTCCCAGCTTTCTGAGGAACTACCACAGTGACTTTCATGGTGTTAGCCATTATTTCTTGGCAGTTTTTGGCATCAGGTTTTTCACTCTCCTCTAGGACTGCTGTGACCAAATGTCTGATAAAAGCAACTTAAAGGGGAAGGATTTGTTTCCACTTAGAGTTTGAAAGAAATCCACTATGGAGAGGGAGGCACGGCAATGGGAGATTAAGGTCATATTATGCCCACAGCGAAGAAGCAGAGAGAAATCAATGCTCAGCTTGCTTCCTCCTTTTTACTCAGAATGGAGCCCCAACCTATAAGATGGCTGCATTTAGGGGGGTTCTTCCCATCCCGATGAACCCAATCTAGAAATCCTTCACAGATATGCCCAGAGATTTGTCTCCAAGGTGGTTTTAGACCTGTCAAGTTGGCGGTTGATATCACAAGCATTATGCTAGGGGACTCTGCTCTTGTTCTGGAAACTGACCCAGTTAAGTTCAGACCACATGTTTTCGCTGGCCTTGACTGGGTGTTTGCTACGTCAGACCAAGTCTACAATGCCTGCGGTACCACTGAGACACCCACTGAGCCATCTTGCCAAGCCCTATGAACTGCATTTTATTAAACACCCCCCCCCCCCGGCCCCTGCAAAGAAGTACTTTTAGTAAAATCAACAGTTTTGTTTGGGAAGAAATATAAGGCTGGCTGGCTGGCCAGCTTGTAGGTATCTGAAGCCTCCTCTACAAACCTGCCTCCACATAGTTGAAGGCAATTGTCCCACCAGGCATTGCAGATCTGTTCTCACGCACCTCAGACTCTAGAAGTCACCTCCCCCACGGATTTGGTATAAACTGTACCTCCTACAGTACTGTACATTTTGGCTGTGGACCCTGCTCACTGGAACGAGTCGAAGCAGCTAAACAAGTTAGGAATTGGCGATGCTAGCCTGTGGTCTGTCTCTTCATTTGCCTTCTGCCTCTTGCCTCCTACCCCAGTGCTGGAGGAAGACAATCGTCACCTCTCCAGAGTCTCTGCACCTCCCTAGAAGAAGCCACCTGCTCTCCCAGAGTGCCCCAGTGGGACTGGACTGCACAGGCTGGCCAGAGCCCATGCCTGATACTGGTGAGCTTTATACTTTTCTTTTGTCATATATCCCTGGGTGTGCTGTCAAGGACATGGGTGAGTGTTGTGAGAGCTGTGTCTATTTGTCAGGAGAAGCAGCTCTAAGGTTGAGAGGGATGGATGGTTATCTCATCCCTTCAACTATCAAGGACTACCTGGTACCCAAAGAAGGGGCATGATCAGCATTGTGCAGATGCTATGATTGAGTCCCCAGGCCTGGCTCTGAAAGGTCTCATGTTTGGCTTCAAGAGGAACACTGAGTTGTTCTTTGGGGTAAGATATGTATTAGAAGAGTAATTAACATCGGGGGAAAAAACATCATGGTGGGGGCTATGGGGAGAGACCTATGTGGCAGAGCAAGGGTCCCTTCTTACAGGTCTCAGAGGAAGCGGGGGTTCCATGCCATGTGGTTGGTGAGTAGTCTGCAGTAAACATTTATAGAGAAAACACCCATGCAGTGTGCTGTCTCAAATCTAGCCACCGGGGCCTCCCTTCCATGAGTTTTACATCAGCAGCCTCTTGGTTCCTTTCCCAAAACTAGAGTGAACAGCATCACATTATATATTCATCCACAAAAGGGCTGAATCATGCAGAAGGGCAGAGGGCCCCAAGTGAGCCAAGCCCAACCTTTTTCAGCACAAGTGTCATCTTCCTTAACCATATCTGCAGGCAGGGGCTGGGTGCTAAGAGATGCTCCCAGGCTCTTGACAAATGGACAGACTCTAAAGTCTTGACTCTAGAGTCTGTAGTCCTAAGCAGGTGCAAGTTATCTATATGCAATCAGAAACATTCAGCTGGCTTCCAGGGAGGCAGGTCTGTAAGATGGCTCAATCAGGGCAAAGCTCTAAGCAGAGTTAAAAAGCAAAACAAAACAAAAACACTTGAAAAACAGCACACTCCCTTTTGCCAGGTGTGGCGGGGGTGGGGGGCACCCAGGCCGCTAGTCAAGGCCACTGAGAGTGAGGGGTGGTCCACCCTATAAGTAGCATTTGCCCACAGGAGCCCACAGCTGGCTGAGGAGGCAGTTGTAGAGCAGGCCTAGGCCTTGAGCTCACAACCCAATGTGTGCATGCCGGGTACTGGTCCCTGGCAAGCTTTGGGCTTTCTGTCAGCAAAGGGGTCTGCTGAGACTGCGTTGTGAAGTGGAGGCTGTGATCATCAACTCACAAACAAATGAAGTCACAAAAAAAAGTATCTGCCATCTGCCTTCTAAGGAAAAGCCCTTTTTCTCTCATGATCCCTCTGTTAAGTTAGGGACCTACTTAGAAACTGTGGGAGGGGCTATGGAGATGGATCAGTTGAGAAAAGTAAGAAGTGCAGACCTGC